GGCCAGCCGGCCACGGCCTTCGATGTGTTTGACTGGTTCTCCTCCTGCATGCTGGACATCATCTGCGAGGCCGCCATGGGCTTCCAGCTGAACTGTGCGTTCGACATGGGGCTCGTGCGAGGGGTGTTTTGTTTCCCTCCTCCCTTGCCTTCCCCTCATGTGCCTGTGCCGGCTTGTCCGTCTTGCTCGACATCACAGCCGGCTTCGCTCGCCTGACCACGCACCTCAAAAAAAAACCCACGCAGCCCAGCATTCGGAAGCCCACATTGCTTACACCCGAGCCGTGGACTTTATGAAGGAAATGTCCATCGTGCGCTTCCGCCAGCCGTGGCTGATGAGCCCGCTGATCTTCGGCCTCTCCCCGCTGGGCAGACGTTACCAGCGCGAGTTGAAGATCATTCACGGTGCGCGGTCCCCTTGCAGAGCCCTCTAAACGCGCCGTCAGCGACTTCCCCCCCCCCCGGCAGCCTGTCGCCCTTGCTCCTGCATCGGCACTTCCGGCCCCTTTACCAACCTTCTCATGTGCCGCCACTTTGCTCTCTTCATCATCCCTGTCGGCCTGCATGGGCGTGGGTATGTGTGTGTGTGTGTGTGTGTGTGTGTGTGTGTGTGTGCATCATCACCACCAAGACTTCACCAACAAGGTCATCCAGCAGCGGCGCGAGCTGCTGGCCAAGAGCCAGATCGACATGTCCAGCATCGGCGTCGCCGGCGAAGATGCCGCCGCCGCCGCCGCCGCCGCCCAGCTGGACACCTTCTCCGGCAAGCCCAAGCAGCGCCCGGCCTTCCTGGACGTGCTGCTCTTCGAGCAGGGGAAGCTCCGCCAGCAGCTGGCCGAGGCGCCCACCAAGGAGGCCCGCCAGAAGATCGAGGCCCTGCTCCTGGACGACAAGTCCCTTCGGGAGGAGGTTGACACGCTGATGTTCGCCGGGCACGACACCATTTCCAGCTTCGCCGGCTGGGCGCTGTACCTGGCGTCGCGGCATCCCCGTCAGCTGGAGCCGGTTGTGGCGGAGCTGGATGCCTTCTGGAGCGAGAAGCGCCGCCAGCATGGCGGCGACGAGGCCTACCCCCCGACCGGGCCGGACGAGCTGCGCCGGCTCCACCGCCTGGACTGCTTCATCAAGGAGGTCATGCGCATGTACCCGAGCGTGCCGACCATCGCCCGTGTGCGTATTCTTGCTCCCTCCCGCCCCACATGTCCCCCTACCCCACTCCGCCACACTTGGCGCGCCAGCCGTCGCCTTTCGGGCGGGCGGATCTTTATTGCCCTTCCCCTCCTCCGCCCCCTCCCCGGGCAGACCATGCTCGGTTTCTAACGACGCTGCGATTTGCCGGCCCGCTCGGAAAAAAAAAAGACCACCACGCAGGAGGTCGACATCGATGGGCACACCATCCCTGCCGGGGTCAACTGCCATGTGGAGATCCTGGCCCTCCACCGGAACCCGGCGGTCTGGCCGGATCCCCTGCGCTTCGAGCCGCTGCGCTTCGACGTGCACCACGACCGCGCCGGGCAGCCCCTCCCCCCGGGCGAGAAGGACAAGCCCATCAGCCCGTACGAGTTCATGCCCTTCTCGGCCGGGCCGCGCAATTGCCTCGGTCGCCGGTACGCCGAGCTGGGCCAGCGCGTCATGATGGCCCGGCTGCTGCATGAGTTCCAGTTCTTCGGGGCCGCCAGCCAGCGTGGCCCGGACAACACCGGGTCGGAGAAGCCGGTCGAGGGCTCCGAGGCGCTGGCCCTGCTGGAGGTGGCCCTTGGTTCGGTGGACCCAGTCTGGCTGCAGGCCAAGCCGCGCGCCAGTGTTCCCCCCACCGAGGCCTGAGTGCATGGGGCATTTGGCGCCGCCGATCAGCATGGCACCCCGTGCACTCAGTACGCCGACCACCGGGCTCCGGTCCCAGTCGATTGCCATGCCCACGGTTGGTGTGGCTGCCACACCACACTCGGGGACCAATGTCCTGCCATTTGTCCTGGTTGCTGTCCGCCCTCCTGGGCGTCCCCTTTCGCCCAGGCCGGCGTATACCCGGGCCAATATCGCAAATACAGCTTCCCCCCCCCCCCCCCCCCCCCCCCCCCCCCCCCCCCCCCCCCCCCCCCCCCCCCCCCCCCCCCCGAGTGATCTTATCAGTCGGGACTCGGGCGGCGGCCCAGGCAAGCATGCAAAATCGGGGCCTGGGCGAGGGAGCAGAGCCCCCCCCCCCCCCCGAGACACGCGGCTCCCTGCCAGCGAGCACCCATGCTTGTAGGCGCCGCTGGGCTCACACTGTCGGCGGCTGTCCTCTCATGAGCCTCTCGTGGGGGCAGCCTGTTGCCCGTTTCTCCGGGCGCTTGTGCCAGGCATCCTGCCACCACATGCCGGGGGCGAGAGGCGGCGGTCACCGGTGCCAGGAAGGCCCAGAAGGTTCAAGCTCGGTGAATAGAACAGCAAGCTCCACGAGAAATGGGTTCTCGGATGGGAGTCCGCCCCACAGGCACATGATCTGGCCATCACACGGGCGGATTGCGCCCGCGCCGTTCAGGTGAAACGGACAGGCGCTTTGGCACAAGCCATACCGAAAATCCCCCCTCGCCCGTGCGGGCTTCGCGCGTGAAGAAGAGCCCGGGGGCGAATCAGCCCCAGGTGGGGCCAGCACGCCGCGCGGAAGGTCCGCGGTGGCCGAGTGCATTCGTCCGAGAAAGCGGGGCCGGGTGGGTGCCAGGGGGGAGGGGCATGTCGAGCGATGGGAGCAGGCTCGCGAGACATCCCCCAGAAAGTGGAGCTATTCGCCGGCCAGCCAGGTCATCCTACATGCGTGTGTATCCGAGTCCCGAGGGTGTGCGCACACGCGCCTGTGGCCGCTGGGCCCTTTTTCGGGCGACAGACTTCCCCCGTCTGGGGGCGGGGCCGGGCGGGGGGCAAGTGTGCCTTTTGGAGGTCGGGCCAGCCATTGGACCGGCATGGGGACTCCCCCGGGGGGCGGGGCTCGTCCCAGCACGAGTCTCGTGGCACGCCTTCAATGGCTGCGCGCGGGCCCTCCCCGGCAGGCCGTGGCTCCCCCCCCCCCCCCGGGCGGGGCGCGGCCGGGGGATGTAATTCGCGATGGGACACAGCTATTCGTGCAGCCCGAGCTCCTCCCTGGCCCTTCCCGTTGCCTGTTGGGCATTCGCGCTCGAAGGCCTGGGCGTCCTCCCCCTCCGCCCCCCAGCGCCGAGTGGCTGCCTGGCCGCGTGCAGCCCCCCGTTCCAGGGTTACTGTTATCCGGTGAATCAGATGAGGCCCTCCCTGTCGGGGCGTCCTGGCGCCGGAGGGATGTAGTTTGCAAATTTACCGAGGAGCGGGGCTGTTCGGTTTGAGCAGACCAGCACCTGCGCTCCGAACGCCCCCCCCCCCCCCCCCGCGCCCGGAGCGTCCGTCCGTGGCAAGGCATTCTTGCCAGCCGGTTCGGAAGCTGGGTTGTTTTCTTTTTCCTGTCCCCGGACAGGTCGAAGGGACCGCCCGGCCCGGCTCACGGCGCGCAGCCCTTCTTATTCGTGACCAGACATGGGGACTGGCCGCTGTGCTCCCTGCGAGGGGAGCAAGAGGGCCGTGCAGCTTCGCACTCGATGCCGCGTCCCAAGGGTGCGTGCCCTTGCTGAAGGCAGCATGCTCACCCGCTCCTGCGCCCATGTACGCGCACAAGCACGTCTCTGCGCTCGGCCCATGAGGGCTCCAGCCTTTCATTGGCTGGGACTGGGTGCCCATCGAGCGGGTTAGACACAGGAGGCGGTTGCGTTTACCAAGGCAGGCCTCATGATCCAACCCCCCCCCCCCCCCCCCCCC